AGCATGTTTTGAATCCTTGTAGGGAAGGCTATAAATTATATGGCCCTTGCTAGAATCATAGTGACTTACCTTAATTTTGATGATGTCCCCCATCAGTATTTGTATAGAGCTAGACCAGATCTTTCCTAAAATATAGCCTAGGATGATGGTGTCATTCTCCGGGTGTTGGGGATTCAACCTCAAATAATGCAGCCCCGAAGCTGATTAACAAGTTTTAACTAATGTCTTTTCAAATCGCAAATTGTCTTTGTTGTTCAGGACAGACTGCGAACAAAGGAGAACCTTCAAAGGGCGTCGGTGAGGCCAAAAAGCGAAATCAAAGTTTAAGAGATGAAGGACCGAAGGCCTTCGGTTTTTTATCATATTTTTTCTCTTATTTTCCAATTTTTATTTTCAAGACGGGAAGTTCGGAGATAGAATTCAGATACTACATATGGGACCATTATCGCATATAACATAAAACTTCTCTCCCAATTCTATTTATCCGAGCTTCTCGATCTGTCATTATACCTCGAGTAAAGAATAGCAATTTCCATCCAGCTCAAAGCCTTTAGGACTTCTTTGATAGCTGGCATTAACTCGTACGCCAAACCAGCTGATAAGCTTTAAAAAGTTCTAGTTCTACATATTCTTTTTTTAGCCTTTTTCTTTTGATATCACAAAATTGAAACCAAAAGAATTTCTATTATTTTCCTCATGTTTTCAAACACGTCCAATAAAGTCCTGCCATAAAAATGTTTTAATAGTTCTTTTTGCTAATATTTGTGTACACTACTCAAACATTTCCTTTTTTATTCATACCTGTATTTTTATATAGGATAGTAAATCAGAAATAATATTTTTCATAAGACTCTAATTCCATGTCTCTCTTATTTTTTCTATAGTCAACATGTTTTCTTTTTTTGCTTTAAAATTTTGGATCTTAAAGCATATACACGTGGAACAACTTACTGTTTTTTCTTTAATTTATAATCTCGTCTACTTTATTTATAATACTACTTCATGAGCTAATAAAATTATTTTAGTAAAATTCAATTCTCTCAGCGACCACGTTAAAATCTCTCGTGGTTCTTATTGGAATTCACTGGAGTCCGCGATTGGAAACCAAGAAGCGTTACATTACAGGAGAGAGAGGGAAAAAAGAGGACGTGAATAGTCAGACCACCACTCTCTTCACTGTAGGGTTCATGCGTGTGCAATAGACCAAAAGACGTATAGTTACAGTGCTCTTATAAGGTATAGTATATATAATAGTCACTCTGTATACTGTGTACAGTACATACAGTATAGTGCTATCCTGAATTCTTGATACGTACACCTCCGTCCATGAAAGAATGCAATTCTCGCTTTTCGAGGAGTCGAACAGTTTGAACTTTGATTAAATTTATATAAAAAACTAGGGAGAATTGTCTGTTGACATTCAAGGTGATGGTCCTTTGCTGACGGACACCTACTTTAGAGCATTTTGTCAGAAGACACTCTGGTTTGATAAAATTAAACCATAGAACACCGAGAACCGGTTGCAGCCGATTGAGAAGAGAGAACAGCGGTCAAATAAGCCCCTACAGCTTTCTTCTTCCTCTCTCTCTCTTTCTTTTTTTTTTTCTGTTTCCTGTCCCGTACGCTAGCGCGCTGTCCAGCCCCAGACGTCCCCTCCCTACGACAGCCCGTGACGGCCCCTTCTGACCACGACGCCAGATGCGTGGCCCCCGGCGTCGGCGCGAGCAGTAGCGCCGCTCCAGCGCTAGCGAGGTCGCGGAGGCAACAACAACAGCTTTGGCGAGCTCGTGTGGGTCCGACACGGAACAACAAGGTCCGACGGCGAGGTGATGCGCTCCTCCCCTGCAACAACCCTCTCACCACGTGTGTGTGTGTGCCCCTCATCATCAGATTTGGTTGCTTGCAGGTTCGAGGAGCTCAAACTCAGATCCGATGGTGCTCACGGCAGGCTAACCTCCTCATACCATGTCCGACGCATCCGGCCTCAAGCGATGGCCCCAACTTCCAGCTGCGACGGCGGCTAGGCTATCCCCGCGCAGATGCGCCTCCCGCTGGTGGCGCAGCCAGCCTGGTGCAGACGGTGCCTCCCGGCGGCGGCGCACCTTGTGTGCACGACACCCCCGACCGTAGTGGTGGCGGCCCCTTCCAATACATCGGTCGCAGCGCCCCACCCTCCCAACGGCAACAGCACCGGTGCATCCGGGCCATAAGGCGGCGCGACTCGCCCTGCGTGGATGCCCCCCGCGGTGGACGGCGCGGCCGTGCGTGACGCCGACGGCCCGGCCTGTCCTGCACACAAGGCGGCCACGGGCGGCGGCGCGGCTCGCCTCGCGGGCGCACCGGTCGGCCAGCCGCGTGGCCCTCGGCGTCGGCGTGGCCAGATGGCCCCCCGCGTCCGCTCTTCCTCCCCGCGTGCGGAACGGACGGCGACGGCCCCGCCGGGCGGCGATGTGTGGCTTGTGTTAGTCGGCCGGTTCCCAACAAGTAGCAGCAGATCACGGTGGCATTCATGCAGCAGGGACAAGGAAACAGAAAAAAGAGAAAGGGAGAGAGGAAGAAGAAAGCGTCAAGGGCAAGAATATTATTTCACCGTTATTTTTCTCCTCAACCGGTCCGCGGTGTCCTATGGTCTAATTTCACCGAACTAGAGTGTTTTCTGTCAAAATGCTCCAAAGTGGATGTCCGTCAGCAAAGGACCATCACTTTGGATGTTCAACAGACAATTCTCCCAAAAAACTACTATTATTCATGATATAAAATAAATATCATTAGATTGACTCTGGATACTATGTACAGTACATACGGTATAGTGCTATCCTGAATTCTTGATACGTGCTCCTTCCGTCCAGGAAAGAATGTAATTCTCGTTTTTCGAGAAGTCGAACAGTTCAAACTTTAACTAAATTTATATAAAAAAAACTACTATCATTTCTGATATAAAATAAGTATTATTAGATTAGTTATAGAATATATTTTTATAATAAATTTTGTTTGAAGACATAAATGCTAATATTATTTACTATGAACTCGATAAACTTTACATTCCCATAATTACATCGGACTGAGGGATTATCGTTCACGTATCAGTACGCCGCAGGCAACTCCTGCTAGGCTGCTACCCTACCACCTGACACCACGATTCACAACCAAAACACCTGTTTGCTGTAGCATAGCAGCATCTTCACTCCGCTGCACACGCACAGTGAGCGCGCGGCGAACTGTCCGATCGCAATTGCGCCGAGGCTTTCGACGCTGACCGCCTGGCCGGGGCGGGCCGGAGCTGCTCTCGCCAGCTCGCTACCCCCGGCCGCACCGATATGCGCCATCAGGTGCATCACGCATCAACCAACAGTGCCATCCAACAGCTGCGACTGTGAGCGACCGTGGCGGGACAACCCGCGGTTTTCCAGATTCCGCCACGGACGACGCCCGGCCCCGCTGTAGCCGGCGCGCTGCCTACGCCCGCTCGTACCGACGTGTGCACCACCGCCCATCGTTTCCCCGTAACCCCAGCCGGTGTCGTCGGCTCCCTTTGCACCCAGGAGTGGCGGGCAGGGGCCAGCCCATCTCTCTGCGCGGCTAGCTCCCTTTTGCACGAGGACGACGAGCCCAGCGCAGCGATTTCTCGGTTCTCGCAACGGTGGTGGTGTCACTGTCTGGGCTTCTCGCGCCCGCGATGTGACGGCGCTCCTTCGAGCAGTGTTCCTGAACATGGCCGGGCATGCAGGCAGGCTGGGCGTTTGAGGTGAACGGACGGACCACCGCGTGGGACGGGAGACTAATGGCGATCGGTGCCTTCCCTTTCGGGCTCCAGCACAGCAGCGATGGCAATGGGCAGTGAAGTCAACAGGACTAGCTAGTGTGTGTGTCTGCACTCGACCAAGTTGATGAGGGTCCGCGTCCGTCCAACCGGAGCTCGGTAGCGTTAATTGGGAGCTAAGCCGGCATGGTATCTCACCGATCGTCCCCTGAAATCCGGGGCAAAAAGCCTTTAGGACCGGGATTGCCACGAGACCTGCAGCCCGGTGAGGTCAGTTTCTTGCGAGCTTTGGGTTACTCGTCGTCGATGGCAGGTGCGCGTACTTGGCTTTCTCAATCGGGGAACTCTTGCAGGGGCAGCACACCTCGTGCTCCTGGTTCCCGACTGCGACGCCAGTGACTCAGTGACTGTGCAAAGCATGCGTCGTTCTCGTTCAGCATCCGTGGGCCGAGGGCATGCCGGCTATAGCTGCGAGTGCGAGTGCGAGTGCGAGCTGCTCTTATTCGGTTTCTGCCGACTGCAGGGCTGCAACGCACGCCTATTTGTTGGGGGTTGGGGGTTCGTCATGGCAAACCGAACTTTTTCTTAAAAATAAAATAAAATACATCTACTCAATGGTCAGAGTCATCCTGCTACTCTGCGCTGGTCAAGCCTAGCGCAAAAATAATCGAGGTAGCAATTGAAAACTACCGGTCCGTACAGCAAATACGTAGTTAAGTAAGGTAGCATTTGAAAACTGCCGGTCCGTACAGCAGATACGTATATTTAGTACCAAAAAAAGAAAAAAGATACGTATAGTTAAGTAAGGAGTAGACATCAGGAACAGATTACTTGTTGTTAATCTTGCTCTCAGGTACTCCACCAACCATACTTAACGAGAGTAGCTCCAGAGCGACAGGGCGGACATGCGCGGATATAGGAGTATGTCGTTTGCCTCCCCTGACCCGCCCTCCCGCGCACTCCGTCGGCCCTCGCGTTCCAGGGCCCATGCCCCGTGGCACGGTGGCAGACCGGGTCGTTGTCTCCATTGCCCGTCCATGTTATTCCACACCCGCTTTAAAGGGACCACCTTGTCACTCTTCCTCCTCCATGTCCATGGTCATCATGGCGAGGGCAATCCAGCCGAGAGTTAGTCACGGTTAGTTGTTGCCTGCCTAGCATGCAGCTCTAACTCAATCCGTGCAGCAGACGCCAAATCGTGACAGGTAGTAGCTAGGAAGGAGGGAGGGAAGGGCAGGCCATGGCGCTCGAAGCTGTGGTGTTCCCGAAGGAGCTCCTTGCGTGCACGGTCAAGGCGCGCCCGGCGTCACTGGGATGCGGCTTCCATACTGAGGAGCTCGAGGACAAGGGCGGCGTGGTTCTGCAAGGAGAGGCCGCCGATGCGCTGCCGCCGCCCGGTTCCGGTTCCGGTTCCGGTGCGGCCACCACGTGGGAGTGGGACGCGGTGCTCTTCCCGTGCTCCACTGCACCTGGCGCAGTGGAGGAGTGCTGGGATGTGCAGCACCAGCTCTCCGTGTCCCCGCCGCCGCCGGTGCCCTCCGCCATCGCAGCGTCGTCGTCCTCGCGCGGCAAGGCTGCCGCGGCGTCGGCGGCGGCGCGGAGACGACGGCGACACCCGAAGGCGGTGAAGAACACGGAGGAGATGGAGAGCCAGCGGCGCAACCACATTGCCGTGGAGCGCAACCGGCGGCGGCAGATGAACGAGTACCTCTCCGTGCTCCGCTCCGCCATGCCGCCCTCCTACGCGCAGCGGGTACGTACGTACAACAATCTCCTCCATGGCTCTCTCTCCAGCTGTGCAATGAGCGTAATGTACCCGCCGCTCCCCGGCAGGCAGTATTGTCCTAGCTGCAAGAGCTTTGCAGGTCATGTCACCATGCCATGCATGTGCACGAACGGCTGCATTGTTGATTGCCGCTGTCCCCACAACTTTTACTGTAACGGATGTCAAATCTTGCTGGCCCCCTGGCCTGGCCATCCGCTGCTGGCTTCTGCCTCGCCGCGCCATGCGCTTTGGTTGCATATGTCACGGAATCTCTAGCGATCGTGTACTGCCTGCAGGTGCAGGCATCAAAAGCCGCACCTTCTTGAGCGCCGAGCTCTTGGTCGCGACCGAATGGCATGTTCCGTTTGCAACGTACCGAGCGTTAACGTTAACATGGTGTACGGCGGTGCAGGGTGACCAGGCGTCGATCGTGGCTGGTGCCATCAACTTCGTCAAGGAGCTGGAGCAGCTGCTGCAGTCGCTGGAGGCGCAGAAGCGGCGCCAGGGCGGGTGCACCGAGCCACCGCCACCTCCGGCGCCGTTCGCTGGCTTCTTCACGTTCCCTCAGTACTCCACCGCCGCGACGGGTGTGGTTGGCTCTAGTGACAGTGCTGGCTCCGGCGGTGATCAGAGTGGCGGCGGCTGCGCGGGAACGGGAGCGCGGCGGGGCGTGGCCGACATCGAGGTGGCCCTGGCAGAGAGCCACGCCAACGTGAAGGTGCTCGCGCCGCGGCGGCCGCGGCAGCTGCTGAGGATGGTGGTGGCGCTGCAGTGCCTTGGCCTCACCGTGCTCCACCTCAACGTGACCACCACCGCCGATCACCTGGCCTTCTACTCCCTCAGCCTCAAGGTAACAAACTACCGGCACTGGCAGGCGCGTGGCTATTCGATCGACTCCAGCTGAGCTCAGCAATAACACTAAGTCACTAACACATTCTCCTCGTCCTTGCTGCTGCAGATGGAGGATGAGTGCCGGCTGTCGTCGGTAGATGACATCGCCGCCGCGGTGAACGAGATACTCGGCAAGATCTCCGACGAGTGCGCCGCCAGTTACTTATTAGCTGCTTAGCTGTAGCACTACGTATATCTTAGCAAGTGTCATGTATGATTGTAACATCAATTTGATCCTAGTACATGGATAACACTGGCAAGTGGCAATTCGCGCCACTGTCAGGCAGTACTACCACTCCATATGTTTGCGTGCAAGTAAACATGTATCGATTGGACCAGCTTACGTATGTAGTCTTTTGCAGCGCAGTACTGTACGTATTTGTGTGTATCCAGAATTCAGATTCACATCTCACATCAGCGAAAATTATTAGCACCGATCGATCGAGATGCCTGCGTGTGCACACGGGTGACCTGTTCGACTGTTCGAGGTCGTCGATGAACTGGTGAACCAGCGCTTTCCTGACGAGTTTTGCTTCAGAAAACTGCTTTCTCTGACCAGTCAGCACGCATTAACCAGATAAGAATTAGCATGGATTATCCAGCTCCTATCGTATTTCAAGGTGATAGAAATAGAATTAGCCGGCTGCAATGCAATCATCTCATGTTACCGTCGTCGCAAGTGGCAACGATCTTGCGTGTGTTCTGATAGCTCCAGGCATCGAGTTTACACATGAAGAACGTCGTTGACAGCATGACACACTGACACGTCTCGTTCATTGCTCTCGAGTGCAAGTGGGTTGGGTGAATAATGAACCTGCATGTGTAGAGCCTTCGCTCACATCATTCTGCTGGCACTGATCGGGGCAAAACTTGCATTGTAGGATCGGATCAGAATCCTTTCCCAGCCGCAAGGTGACTTTTGTTGGACGTGAATCATTAGGGCATAGGCCGGGTCTTTTGCTGATTGGGCGTTACGAGCATCAGTTCGGAATCATCGCGTTGTGCCATGAATTATGAACAGCCATGTTTGTATATGGACATGAGAGGCGACCAAAACGACCTAAAACAAAAGGGTTGAAATTCGACTGTATGTACGGACAAGTTTATATGTTTACGAAATCGCTAATAAAAACCATCACGAAAGCGTGGTCCATGCAATGTGTAATGACATTCTAGGCTATTTTTCTCCCCCTTGTAGGGGCAATGAATCCGTGGAAAGATTGGAGGTAAAAACAAACGAGCAAATGGACCAACGGTACTGTGGTTACTGCTGTGACTACTGAAAAGAATGTTACTAGGACGTGCATGCCTAAGAACTGGTGCACCTGGCACTAAAGTCTTTCGTGCATGCATATGCCAGCCTTTGTGTGTTTGCTGTCGATGCTACATGTCGTAGCTTTGCTTCACGTCCTACCCTCCCCCGTGTTCCTTCGATTTGTAGCCTGACACTTGCTGGACAAACAAAACCGGGCCACATATGCAGATTCCGTGCAACTGTGGAACTATATACATGTCGCCCTTCAATTTTTGTTTCAGTGGATTTCCTTTTGGGGTTTAGAGTGACAAATAAAACTGCATGGCTATTTGTTGAAATGTTACGAACCTGATCATATTCTATTGCTCTCTGTTAAGACTTCAGAGTGATGACTGATGACTAATGACAAGCATAGACATCATGCAGCTGTAGCATGACCACCGAGAACTCGACTACCAACGCAAACAACCCGCAAAAGGTCATCTAACAGGCCCCCACAGATTTTGAAATTAGGCTTTTCCAGGCCACTCAATCAAGGCACATTCTGCTGCTTCTAAAGTCAGACAACAAGATGCGTCGCCTTCGGAGGAAAATTTGAAAATTTCGTAAAGCGACCCCCCCTAACTAAGGCTGCCTAATTGTGGAGAAATACTCCAACTTGCCTTATAAAGTCCTGCTACATATTCCCAGTGGGGCAAGGAATCATTCGCTCGCACGATTTCTAGGCCCTGGTGATAACTATATGGATCAGCAGCCTGAAGAAAGTCGCAGAGCAAGACAATATACATTCCCTTGTCTAGAGGCTGATAGTCTGTACCTCTGGATCTTGTCCTGAACTGGCTACGGCATTATACATTCCCTTGTCTAGAGGCAGGCTACAAGGAGGAAGCACATGCGGATGTACACACAAATTGTGGGATTAACTGAAGTACTGAACTACTAATACTAGTAATAATACGTAACATCACAGATTAGATTAGACAGCCAGATTAGAGCATTTGGGATGTCTGAAAGGAACGTTAATCTTCAGTGGTCCATTGAGCTTCCAATCGAGGAACATGCCAATGGCGCTACCATCAGAAGGATTCCCCGCATCAGATCGACGGAGGGGCTGCAGAGACCGTATAGAAAAGTTGGATGGGGACGGCGGAGTGGCATACGTGTCTCCGCGGACAAGTTTCGCTGTTAGATACGTGCCTCAATAATTGAGCTTAAGAAGTTAAGTATCAGAAAACGTAGCCTCAGCTCCTGATAACTAAACGAAAATAAAAAAAATGGGAGCATTGTTATGGCATACATGGAGATATCTCCATGTAGACGAAGTAGAAATTCCAACTAATGTTTTCAGACATCGGATTCAGGTCATCTTGGTGATTACACGCCAATTTGGGAATCGACTAAATCCTAGTGGTGGCATACTGGCATGGTAGTTTCTTTTTTCCAAAATCAAGAAGCCTGCATAGCAATAAGAAAACTGAGGCCGGGAAACACATTTAGTTCAGAATGGCACGCCAGACATGCGTTAGCCGTATGCAGACACAGATAAGCACAATTCAGACAATACGTCTTACCTACCATCCGATACCCTTCTTGCCTCTTTGGATCATCCAGCTACAGTACATGCAGTATTATTTTGCTCAGCAGTCTATCAGCCTAGCGTGCCATCGCCTGTCTGTACTATCTGGATGGTGCATATGCATCGAGCGACAGGCAGGGCAAACAGATCACCTGCTGCTGCTGTTCCGCTGCGTGCGGCATCAAAGACTTGTCAGGGGGATCCCCTACCTTCCCCGGTGATAAAGCTACCCTGCTGCCCCTTCAGTCGATTCCTGTGCTAGTGTGCTGCACTGGGCACTGCTGCGTGGCCCCATCTTATGAAAAATTATTGCAGAAATTAAGAAACGACAATGCAATGGGGGAGGGACTGGCTGGAAAAAAGGTCGAGTCGAGACCGAAGGCAGCAGTTGGCACTTGTGCGTGGTACACCGGCAACAGTTTTAGTCTTGTAGGCCCCGTTCGCTTCGCTGAAAAAACAAATCAAAATATTGTTCTGACTGATTTATTGTGAGAGAAAAATATTGTTTCGGCTAAAAAAACAAGCTGAAAAGTACGGATTATAAGACAAGCGAACAGGGCCTTAGGGGCTGATTGGTAGCCCAAAGCGGGCTGTCCTCGCACGGTTTACCAAGGTGGACTCGTTCCAGCTTCGTGTTTGGTTTCCCTCCTCGCATCTTTCGCCTGCTCGGTCTTGTACCTCTACCCCCTCCATCCCGCACGTCTCCGACTTCTCGATTTTCACTTCCGTCTCGATGCAGAACGACTCGATGCTTGGCGCGAATGCTTCAGGCCAGCGCGGGAGATGCCCCCGTCCCGACGAGCACGGGTGTCGGCTTGGGTTGCCCCCCCCCCCGTTTCGCACGTCTCCTTCCTCCATTGCTCTGGTGCGCCTTTCCTCTTGCTCCCCCTCGATCTCGGTTGACCGCCGAAGTCGACCTTGATCGGCGGATTCATGGTGGTCCTCCGGTGCCGCGACAGTAGACCTCACCTGCGCCTCTCTCCTCTTCCTCTCTGTGCGATGCTTTTGTTGATTTATGTGCGGATTTTGTTTGAGCTGTGCCATGATTCTAGGGTTCTTGTTCTTACATACTCAGATCTATGACCTGCTATTCCTGATCTACTTGTTTCTTGTTGTTTCCCTCTGGTTCCACGCTCAGATCTAGGGTACGACTAACTTTTTTTATTTCTAAATATGTGGTACGCCGCAAACGCATGATCCCTATCTGAATTTTTGCTTACTCCTCGGCTAGAGTGCCTGATTGCAGGGGGTGGATGTGTCCCAAGGCTTCATGTCTTTTCTGACACTGTAATTGTCTTTGATATTCTTGTTAAGCCTATGATGATAACTAAACTGCCATGTGTACTGGATTACAAAAACCTGATGACCTTGAGCTTGTGAGGTACTGGAACTCTAGTCTAGTTCTTATTGGTTTTCATGTTTGTTTCTTACCATTGCTATGTTGCCTTTTGTGTTTCTTATGCTCCAAGCTCAAGGTCAACCGAGGAAAAACTGTTATATGAGGCCAATCTGTTAACCACTTATGAAGATGAAAAAGTTCTTGAGAAGCCAGCTGCCGCTGTCGTTGCCAAACCATCTTGGCTATTTCTTCTTTACATGGTTCAGTCTTTCATGTTGCTGGTGCTCATCTTTTACATTGTTAAACGTGGGAAGAACTGCTTGTGATGATTAACCTATAACCATGTACTCATCAATTTACTTCGACCTTATGAGGTACTGGGACCGATTTGTTGATGTTTAATAGCTGGTTCGACTATTGTATTATTTTGTAATATCTCTCATGCTCTAATGTCTTAGTTGATGATGATACAAATTGATCTGAGGTCATGTTTGTGTTGTTATGCTTGTTCGATGAAAATGGTAGTAACCTCACCAAAGTGATACATGGGTGCTCACACCTCGTGCCATGCTGCAAACCACATACAAGGAGGAGGACCAGCTCATTCCTAAAATTAGTGTAAACAGGCAACCAAACAAACTCACTGTCATCTAGTATCACTCTCAAAGTTACAACCAAACACGCCAAGGTATATGGTTTCAAGCCTGTCTCACTCCGTCCAGGACCGGCCCTCCGTCCCGGATCCCCTCCCCCGGAGCAACCAATCACACCCTTAGAGGAGGAGTACTCCTTCCGTCCCTAAATATCTGTCGTTTTCGCTCCCCGATAAACAACTTTGACTAAATATATATTAAAAAATATTAATATTTATGATACATAATTAGTATTATTGGATAGATATTTGAATCTATTTTTTTAATAAAATTATTTGGAGATAAAAATGTTGCAAGCATTTTCTATAAATTGAGTCAAAGTTATCGGCACGTAAATCGTGGCGACAAACATTAAGGGACGGAGGTAGTAGGTGCCATGGACCGTTCAGGTTTAGGCCATGCCTGCTCGCAACAAAGAACAAGTGTTTTTCTCTCACAACAAATCAATATCAACATCAGTATCAATCGTTTTTTCAGCCAGCTGTATGTGTGTGTCAGTGTGTGTGAGGGAGAGAGGCAATATATGGTCACATTCTGAGTTGATGGATCGTCTGGCTCGTGCAACAGTATTCTCCGAGAAAGTGAGAGCAAATTCAGCTCGTAAAGAGACGAGCAACTGTTGGTCATTGAAGCGGCCGGATGGGAATAGACGAATAGTTGGATGCCGCGGCCCGCGGATCTGAAGCACTGATGATGAACATGTCACGCCAGTGGAATTGCAGGAAGCCGCCGTGACCGCCGTTCATTTTTCTGAAGGCTCCTGGTCCTGGAAACTTGGACAGTGTCAGTGTGTGTGTGGGCATCCAGTATTCTGTCTGTGTTCGTCCAATAAAATCGTTAGAGAAAAAAAGAAGTGAAGAAAATTTAGGTTAGTCAAAGATATTGTTTCACTTCGCACCGCTGGACTTTCTAATTCTCACGATTAATTCGTGCCTAGTACTCTGGTGCATTCATACCACATTACCACTCACATTCATCATTCAGAGTTCAGGTCTCTGAAGACAGGAACTGAACAAAGCCGTTGGTGTGTTGTGGACGACCAGCAGGCCGGCCTACACGGCCCCAGCCAGGAATCCACGACAGGGAGACTGGCCTGGCCTAGTCAAAAGTGGACGAGGCAGGATACCGCAGGCACAGCCCACGGACCACGCTACGCTCGTGCTGTGGCAGACGGGCCAACCGCCCAACAGCCTCGTGGGGGGCGCATGCGGGATGCTACTGTGTTAGAGAGCATGAGCGGCTTGCTGGGCTGCCCCGCGCTGGAGCCCACCGGCCAGGAGTTCCTTGCACGAGAATCAGCCCGTCTGAGGGCATACGTATAAAAAGTCCACATTAACTCCTCAACTTATGTGGAAGTATGTTTTTTCTTCCTAAACTCTAAAACTGGATAAACCACCTCGCTGAACTTTTAAAACCGTTCGTTTTACCTCCCTGAGGTTATAAGCGGTTTTCAAAAGCAGTTTTGTCTTTTTCTTTTTTATTTATTTCGACCGAATTTTTAAAAAATCATAGTAAATCACAGAAAAATCATAAAACAGAAAATCCAATTTTATTAGAATCCACATGAGTAGATCTGCACAGTGTACATATAATATGGTATGTTTTAGTACAAATTTTTTTGTTGTAGCTTTAGATCTATGCTTTTCAATAATTAATTCATACCTATAGTTTCTATGGTCCAATTGTGGTGAAATTTTTATGGTGGACTAATTATTATATGCTTGAATTGTACTAAAAATTTCATACTCATTGGATCATATATAAATTAGTTAGATTCATAATGATAACTTATAGGAAAAAGTGCACATTACCTTCTCAATTTTTACGAAAGTCTATTTTTCCTTCTTGAACTCTAAAATCGGATAAACCACGGTTTTTTGAATTCAGGAAGGAAAAACAGACTTTCGCAAAAGTTGAGAGAGATAATGTGGACGTTTTCCTATCAATTATATGGAAGCGTTTCCTTGAGCTACGGCAGTAGCAGAGTTTTTTCGGTTAGTCTGACCAAAGCAGCTCACCACTAGGCCAACAGGCTTGCGACTTACCTGGACTAGGTATTTAAGTTGCTTGGCAGAGCCCCCAAAGTTGAACTTCGGTGCCTTCCTTTAACCATAAAACCAGAAAGGGATCTCAGTGACTAGAAAATCGAGCACCGCTCTTCATGGAGCAAAGTGGAGTACTCGCGAGGTATGCTTTACGCTTGAAAGCAGGGAAGCCAAAACAAGGGTATACATCGATCATATAGCCTTGCTGTCTTAGACTTGCACGGATGTATAATGGTCAATAATTAAGATTGTGTTTATTAGTTTAGCTTCGAGAAAGTGTTTCTATTGCCAAAAGACAGAACGTCAATCAAACGGATAGATTCTGAAGCTACTTTTTTTTCGAAGCACCTATTTATGCATAGTATAATTTTTGCAGCACCTTAGACTCTGCTTTTGAATTTTCTAAATGGGTTTCAGTGGCCAAGCCGATTCTTTTTTGGGGGTTGGGAATTGTAGATTTGGAAAATTTTAGCAGAGCACTGAGACTGAGATGGTTATGATTTGCTTGGACCAACCCTGAGACCTTGGAACGGGATGCACTACCAGACTACCAGTGGACTCAATAGATTTGGCGTCATTCAACGCTGCGACAAGAATAACTGTCAACAACGGGTGTAAGGCCGCCTTCTGGAAGACTCATGTAAGTTTGTTCCCACTCCTGGAAGACTCTAGCTAATCAGCAAAGATAACAAGATGGAGCACTCACTGACGATCTTGACCACTTGGAGTATCTGGAAGCATAGAAACGCGATCGTTTTCAGGGATACTAGGAAACCGGCGCAAGAGTTTTTTGAGGAGATTAAGGACACATGTAATACCTAGTCTAGGGCAGGGTGAAAAGCCCTCCCAACTCCTAACAGTTGTAAGAACTAATATCGAGTAATAGGTTTTCTAGCTCTTAAAACCTTCGCAGCTTAGGCTGTTGATGAAAGTAGCGCTGCTCGCGTATGCAAGCTAGTTGTATTGCTACCTCTTTATTATTTATAAAAAGCTAGGTAACTGGATCTTTTTTAAAAAGGTGAAATTAGATAAACATTTCACAACTGTTTTAACAGAAAGAAGGTAGGTTTCATGGTTGTCAACCAAACAGTTTACAATATTTTCTTAGCATATACTTCACAATAGTTTTTTTTCACATCTTATAGTAGCTTTTTTTTACTGTTGATATAGCTAAACCAAACACATGATAAGTAGTACTCTTTTTGTTTCAAATTGTAAGTCATTTTGGCATTTTTAGATTCATAGTTTCTATTATGTATCTAGACATAATGTATATATCTAGATTAATAGAAAAACTAAAATGACTTACATTTGGAACAGAGGAGTACGGAGTACTTAGCAATTGCGGACTATAAAGTGGAATGGAGTCATTCCTTCGAATACTTAATTTGACATCCCTCTCAAAAGCAACCGGCCGGAAATCAAGAAGGTACTCAGAGCATCTTTGGCGGTTTGACCGATCCAACAAAGGATGCAGAGCCCTGCGCATAGGCCTTAAATTCAGGTGCTCATGCGGTGCTGTCTCCAGTCTGAAAGGAAGAAACCGACCAAAAAGAAAACAAAGTGAGATGAATGGAAACTCTAGACTGAAAAAGAAATCTAGGAGGAGCTGTGTGATGAACTGCAGGAACTTTAACCCTGAACCTGCAATCGAGTGCTTTTAAGCTCGTAGTACAATCGAGTGCATTCAAAGTACGAGGTACAGTTCATGGTTTGTCTTCTTTGGTGAGCCTGAGTCCAGCCTAACCACTAACCAGTTCATGTCCGGTAACCAGACGACCAGTTTTCGAGATTGCATCAGTGCGCTGTTTGATCGACGTTAAAAAAATCTGGATCAACCCATCAGTGCGACTGCAGCAAATACTGCCATTTTGCCTTCTAATCGGGGTCTAATTCGCACTGTACCTCATCTAACAATTAATCGAGCAATGTTTAGGTCAGGGTCTTGGTCATCAATGATGGAAAACATAGAAACTGTTTCTTTGTGTATCTGTGTGTTAATCGCCCATTGGTGTAAGTTCGAATTAAAGCGTTTTCTCATGTCCGCGGCATGAAAAATGGAAAATATGCACCTTGAGCGATCGACATGCAAGTGTGAAGTCATTGTCAAAAGTTTAGGTAGCTTAACCCAACTGATCTCCATGTGAAGAAGAAAATCAGATGCCACGCCGACGGCACCGGACACAATCAGATTCACTTCACTTTGGCCTATACTATCATATGAAAAGACATGGCACCTAAAATGCCAAATATATAGGCGCAAAGCGATAAAGGTGCATGTTTTTGATGCATATCTCCCTTAGTCCTCGAATCTGTAAATAAAATAGGTGGAGTTTCATGTGAGCCACCCGTTTAAGATCGAATGTTCGGGACTAGTGTTGGGAGAGAATCTGTGTAGACGAAAAGATACTACATAGCTTAGTGGAGTAAGATTTACTCAAAGGATTCAGTTAAGCTGAGTGAAATGGATGTGAGAATGAGATCATATAGCGACAAAATCTATGGTCTCACTGAACGCTGATGAACAGACGACAAGATCCATCCATGCTATACAAAAGTCCTGTTGTTATGATGGAAAACTTGTTGTCGAAACTTCATTATGAAAACCTTATCATTGGTTGGTGGCATGAAAGCCTCCGATCCGAGCCTGAACAATCGCCGCTCTATTCATCTCGAAAGCGTTTCATTTCCTCATAGGTAAAGCGGCTAGCTCCATATATTCTTTCCCACAAGGCCGGTGAAAGCCTATTGGCCACCAACTCCGCGTTGCCGTTATATAGGACCGTATTTCCCCGCGTCGTTGCGTCAGTTGTCATAGTGGAAGCGATCGACACCATCCATACTTTCTCAAAGCTGCTTTCGTAAACACTTGATCAGCACTACTGCTCGATCAATGGCTTCTTCCTGGGTTTCTCGGTTGCCTCTGTCAGTGCTGCTGCTCGTGGCCTGTTCCTCCACGGCAGCCGCCACCAGCTACACCGTCGGCGACGGGTCCGGCTGGACGACCGGCGTCGATTACACATCTTGGGCCGCCTCCAAAAACTTCAAAGTCGGGGACAATCTCGGTACGTATGCGTGATGTCTTACCTCATGCATGTACTGATGTACATATGCATGCATGTCGATCGTCACGCGATCTGATCGCAACAGATAGATTGGCTCACGAGTTTGTTTGATGGGTTTTGCAGTGTTCAACTACGCGAAAGGGCTGCACACGGTGGTGGAGGTGAGCGCGGCCGAGTACATGGCGTGCACGGCCGCCAACCCGCTGGGCTCCGACAGCAGCGGCGCGACCACCGTGGCCCTCAAGACGCCCGGCACCCACTACTTCGTGTGCAGCATCACCGGGCACTGCGGCGCCGGGATGAAGCTCGCCGTGACCGTCGGCGGCTCCAACTCCCCTGCCACCACGCCGACACCGACGACCCCGCGGACGTCCCCGACGACCCCAACCACGCCTTACACGACGCCAACGACCCCAACCACGCCTTACACGACGCCAACGACCCCGACCACCACCACGCCGTACACGACGCCGACGACCCCGACGTGCTCTGGCGGTGGTGGCACCACGGCAACCCCGGGCATGACTCCGTTCATGTCATACCCCAGCGTAGCCGGCCTCGGGTCGGAGGCGTTGGCTGGCTTTGCTCTGGTTTGGTGTGTGATCGTCCAGCTAGCGCTGCTTTAGGCAAAGGGCCACATGGTCGACCAGGATGGAGGCAGAGATAGGTCATGTCGCCTGTAAGCTGTGACGTACTTACTAGCTACTACTGATGTGTTTGTTCTTTGTTCTTGTTCCGGATCGAGCTGGGGTATAGTATACTTGGACGAAGAAACTGTTGGCCCTGGATCTTCCCAACGGGTGAGCCAATTACTCACCGGTGATGTCGACCACACGATATGGTTAAAGGTACAAGAAGGGAGGAAGAACAGAATGCACACACACAGCACAAGCACCAACGTTAATCGGAGCTCTGCAGAGAAGATGACAAAACTGAAGTCGCTCTCTTTACTGAGTTGCAGTGGGAAACTATATATACAACTCTACCCATCTAATCCTAGTACACAAATATTTCAGGCTGTCATGCTGCTATAGTGACTAGATGTGACAGCAGGGCTGACTTTGACGCCTGCCCCCTACCGAGCGTTCACACAGGAGAGCAACAGATTACTTAACAATTCTTTTCCTAATCCTGCTGCTAACCCTAGAAGCCTCTCCATGCCGATCATCTTCTTCAGCTCCATGAACCGAAGACGGCCGAGCGGCTTGGTGAGAACATCCGCGAGTTGCCGACCAGTTTCGACGAACTCGATGACGATTTACCCTCCATCGACACAGTCCCTGAGAAAGTGAAACTCGACGTCGATGTGCTTGCTCCGGTCGTGGAGAACTGGATTCTTTGTGAGGGCGATGGCAGGCTGGTTGTCCACCATCAGTGCTGGTAGGTGAGCTTTCACACGTCGTCTTCTTCGCCCATCACCGGCGCAGACACACACGACAACACGCGCATTGTGGCGCGCCGCGCACTCGCTTCGCGACGCGTGGGCGGCGCCACCACCTTCTCGCTTTCAATGACGACCATGAGATTGGAGCTGACCCAAGGAAGACGAGCACGCTAGAGGTGCTCCGTCGTCTGTCGATGTCCCCCACCATGTCTGCATCGTTGAACACAGTGAGCTGCAGTCTACTTCAGCCGATCTTAGGGAAGACGATCCCATGATCTGCCGTCCCCTTGACGTAGCGTAGCAGCCGCTTCACTCCAGCCTAGTGATCCTCTCGAGGATCCTCCATGAAGCGGCTGACGTAGCCCACGGCGAACGCAATGTCCGACTTCATATGGACTAGGTAGCGCAGACCATCGACGATGCTCAGGTAGAGTGTTGCATCTACCTTCGCCATGGTACTGGCCTTCGTCAGCTTCAGCCGCTCCTCCATCGGAGTCACGCTCGACTTGCACTCAGCCATGCCGCTCCGCTCCAACAGCTTCGAGGCGTACGCGCTCTGACCGAGCGTGAGCGCCTCCTACCCCTGTCTCACCTCGATGCCGAGGTAGTAGGAGAGCGCGCCGAGATTGCTCATTAAAAAATGAGCCGCCATCTCGAGTTTGAAGTTGCCGATGTCCTCCACACGCGCGCCGATGACGATCAAGTCACTCACATACACGCCGACGACGAGCTCCTCTTTCCCTTGTCGCCGCGTGTAGAGCGCGTGCTCGGTTGCGCACCGAGTGAACCCAAGCTTACCCAGCGTGGCGTCAAGCTTGGCGTTCCATGCTCGTGGGGCCAACTGTAGCTCGTAGAGCGCCTTTCGCAGTCAAAGCACCCTGTGCTCTGTTCCCTTGACGGCGAAACCCAGAGGTTGCCTGACGAAGACCGTCTCCGCCAGCTCGCCGTTGAGGAAGGCTAATTTTATATCCAGGTGATGGACACGCCAATCCTTCGCTGCTGCCAAAGCCAGAAGCAGTCGGACAGACTCCATGCGCGCTACTGCGCAAAGACTTGCTCGAAGTCAATGCCCTCACGCTGGACAAAGCCTCGGACGATGAGGCATGACTTGTTCTTGACAATGGCGCCACACTCGTCCCGCTTGACCTTGTACACCACTTCAGGCCGATCGGACGACATCCTAGAGGTGGATCGACGAGCTCCTAAGTCTCATTTTCCTCGATCGCCTTCATCTCCTCTAGCATCACCTATCGCCAATTTGCATCGCGCTCGGCCAGCGTGAACATTGGTGGTTCCTCTGTACTGACGAGAAGTAGCTCTAGGTCATTGAGCAGCCGACCCGCCAGGCCTGAGGACACTGTGGTGCCGACGATGTCGTCTAGCCTGCGGAACCGCATCTCCTCACCGTCGTGGAAAGCATCTACGAATGCTGTGATGTCGCTTGGAGGTGAGGCGAACTCGATCGGCGTTGATGGAGTCCCCTGTTCCACCAGAGTGGTCGGCACAGCACCTAGAGTGCTCGGCACCCTAGTAGCAGTGCTTGGCACTACTCCTGGACTGCTCATCACCACTCCTGGAGTGGTTGGCACCACTGCAGGAGTGCTCGGCACCAGTCTTGGAGTGGTCGGCACCACTACAAGACCTCTCGGCTCCTCTACGGAAGCATTCGGCACCCATCCTAGAGAGGTCGACACCACTATAGGACCGCTTGACACCACTCCTAGAGTGCTCGGCACCCCTTCCAGAGTGCTCGGCACCGCCCTAGGAGTGCTCGGCTCTGTTGCTGGAGTGGTCGGCACCTCCTCTCCAGCGTCTCCATCACCGTGGATGACCAAGTGCTCGACGACGAAGGTGCTGGTGAAGTCGCTAGCTTCCCCTGTGCCTGGACTATCCTAGTCCCAGGCCACCTTCTTATCGAACACGACGTCACACGAGGCAACCACCTTGCCTCCACGTGGGTCGTAGAGCTGGTACGCCTTGGTACATTCCTTGTAGCCCAAGAGCAAAATAGGTGTGCTCCTGTCCTCTAGCTTGGTGAGGACCGGCTTCATCTTTCTGACGTGGCCGATGCAGCCAAATATCCGGAGGAAGGACACGCTCGGCTTGTGCCCATACCAAGTTTCAAACGGCGTCTTACCCTTCAAGGCCTTGGTGGGCGCGCGGTTGAGGATGAACATCGCCATGGTCACCGCCTCACCCCAGAACCTTGCTGGCATGCCCTTTGCCTTCATCTTGGATCGAGCCATGTCGACCACCATTTGGTTTCGCTGTTCCACCATGCCATTCTATTGTGGCAAGTACGGCACGGTGTGGTGTCGCACCACACCCTGATCTGCGCAGTACGCAGTGAACTCCACTAAAGTGAATTTGTCTCCACGATCAGTTCTTAGCACGCGCAGCTTCTTGCCACTCTCCGCCTCCGCGCGCGCCTTGAACTTCTTAATCGTCTCCGCCATCTCATCCTTGCTCGTTAGGAGCTGCAGCCACATATAGCGACTGTAATCATCCACGAGCAGGAGGAAGTACCACCGACCACCGTTTGTGCTAGCATGATTGGCCCACAGAGATCGCCGTGGACGAGCTCGAGAGCGTCCGCCACGCGATACTTGGCCGCCTTTGGGAACGACAGCCTCCTCTACTTCCCGGCTAGGCAGCTGTCACACAGCTCGCCTGCGTGCTTGATGTGGGGCAGCCCTCGGACCATCTTCTCCAGCCGACCGAGCGTGTTGAAGCTGAGATGGCCGAACTGGGCATGCCACAGCCATGGCTCCTCAGTGTGCCATGCTGCCAGACACACCGGCTGCTCCACCTTCAAGTCGAGCAGGTACAGCCAGTTTCAGGACCTCTTCACATTGGCAAGAAGGCGCTACTCCCGGTCCTTGATCCTGAGGATGCCATCCTTGATCAGTACCTCGCTGCTGCGCTCATCCAGCTGGCCAATACTGATGATGCTAGAATGCAGCTACGGGATATAGTACACATCCGTTAGCGCGCGGTGCTCACCGTTCTGGCACCTAAAGATGATGGCGTCGCGCCCTCGGATCGCCACCCTTGAGCCATCACCGAACTTCACCGTGCCGATCATGTTGCCATCGAGCTCGGAGAAGACTTTCTTGGAGCCCGTCATGTGGTTGCTAGCGTTGGAGTCCAAGTACCACCGCTGCTCCTGTCCGCCACCCACACGTCCGAGGTGGACTTGGGCGCGTAGTTCGTCAAGATGGATAGCCTTCAGAGCCTTCTCAGGCCCTTCCACCGCCATCCTCTCTCCCTTCTCCTTGGCCTCAACGTCGTACAGTGCATAGAACATCGCCATCAGGAGAGTGGCCTTATTATCATCATCATCCTACGCCAGATGAGTCTTAGCCTTCTTCTCCTACTTGCGATTTAGGCACTCCTTTGCCCAATGACCTGTCTTCTCGTAGCGCCGGCAGGTGTTGGGGTCGACCTTCTTCTTCTTCTCCGAAGAAGCCTTGCTGCAGCGCTTGCCATCGCCACCGCGGCTGGAGGAGGCTTCCCCAAACTTCTTCCTCCGAGCAGCCCACTCCTCCTCTGTCAGCAGCAGCTTGCCGCTATCCATCATTGCTGTCGCCTGCTCCAAGCGCTCGTCCACCGTCCGCAACCGACCAGTCACATCTTCAATGGTGAGGGTGGACAGATCCAGCATCGTCTCTTTGGAGAGAGCGATCTGGATGTACTTCATCGACATAGAGTGGAGATACTTAGAGACCACCTCTTCTTCGTCGATGGTGACGCCGTGGCTCCTTAGCTTGCTGATAAGCGTCTGTAGGCAAAGGGAGAAGTCCTCCACCGATTCACCATCCTTGAACTTGAGGTTGGCGTACTCCTGCTTCAGCAGCTGGGCCGTCATCTTCTTTGCGCGGTCGGAACCGACGCGCATCGCCGTAATGGCCTCCCACGCGTCCTTAGCAGAGCTCTTCGCCCTCAACGACTCCCTATACTCCGCTGGAAAAACAGCGAGGATAGCCTCCAACGCTAACATGTCATCTTCTTCGTTATCGGTGCCCTTGTCAATAGCATTCCAGAGCCGTCGGGCTCTGAGCTTGACCTTCATGGTCACCGCCCACTTGGCATAGTTGGTGCGAGTCAGCGTCGGCCAACTGGTGCCGCTGACCTCCCACACCGTGCGCACAACGACCTCCTATCGTGGCTGGACAGCCACAGCAGCGCCGTTGCTGTCTCCTATCTCTAAACCGTCCGTCATCACCAGCAGTTAGTCCGGCG